CAGCATAGTTTGCATTTGTTACTGGTATCTAGTTATCAGATTTAGGTAACATTTTAATAAAAATTAAAAATTCAATTTATAAAATTTTGCCATTATAAATTACATATACCTATTATGATTTTATTGGTCTAGTAAGCTTTAAAGTTTTAGTATGACATGTTACATTACTTAGGAAGTTATAGAGGAATTAACTGTATTTTGTTTATCAAATAGTTCAATGAATCTTCATTTTGCAATTGAGAAAATATGAGGTAAATTTGCCAGACTAACAGTATCATTTTATATAATGATATCGATAAATAAGAATTTATCTTATTCCCCAGTGTTATTTATTTATTATTATATACCAGCAAGAAGAAGCAATAGGAAATAGTATTCAGTGAACCCAGGGGTTATTATCCTAGTAAGACTTTAATTATAATAGCTAATCTTAAAATCTTTATGACAACCACAAGTTTATCTTACGCATTCTGATGTCATTTGAATTATTAAAATATAAAATTTATTAGATTGAAATATATGAAGCACACTTGCACCTTTTCTTTATACACTTTCAGAAGGAAGAACAGGTCCAATAGAATGTTTTACTTGGCAAATGTAAACATAATTTTAAAACATTTTATCATACACATTTTTTTTTTTTTTTTTACAAATTTTAAAAGTATGCCTACATGTTGCCATTGTTTTATGGCCAAATAAGTTATCCAAATGGCTATATTTTGCCCCTTTCCCATGCTAATTAATGAAAAGAAAGTTGTGAATGATTCTTCAAAAGTAGTGTGCCCAAAGAGCTTGTGATTAGAAATGTAGTATCAAATACACCACTCAAAATGAGACTTTCTTCACTTAGTTATTAATTAAGATTGCCTGCACTGAAAGCTCAATCTCTAGCTTTTATATATGTAAGCTATATATATTTTTTATATATATATATATGAAAAAGAAGATACCTTTAGATAGTTATTGTATCCTAGGTAAGTAATTTTTGCACAATTAATTTCATAAATACCCATTGAATTGTTTTATACACAGCATCATTGTATAATGTTACGTGTACCTAATTATTATTGTTTTCTGTGTAGAATCCCAAATCTCAGGAGCCAGTAACATTGGATTTCCTTGATGCAGAGTTAGAGAATGATATTAAAGTGGAGGTGAGTGGAATCAGTAAGACTAAACAATTCCTCAGGTCAGATGTTGCTGTGCACTCCTTCTACAGGTATCTGTTGAACAGCTACAATGTGTTAGCTTGTCTGTTAGATACTGTGTACACAAAGATGAATGTTCTGTGTCATTAAAATTTTCTAGATCCTGGGTTTTCCTATCCAAAAGATCATATGAAAAGGTATGAATGTTTAAGTTGGATTTGACCTTAGTGTTCTTTCTCTTTCTAAAGGTAGATATATTTTCACTTTTCTAATACAAATTTATCTTGTAGATGTCAGTAAAACTCATAGAGATGGAGGATGTTGCTATAGTATTGAAAAAAGACTTGGAAGGAATCCAACCACCCAAACACATAAAGAGTAGCGTAAGAGAAGCTGCCATGTTTGCCTTAATACATTTTACTCAGCAATTTATTTTATTTCAAAAGCAAAATTGCATTATTTCCTCCTCTGAGTCTTCCATAATAATGAGAATATTAATAAGAAAAATAAAATAAATAATAAATAACATTAAGTATATGATATATGTTAGTCATGAATTCTCAAGAGGCTTGGAAATTGGTGTTGCTATTATTGTTTCACACTATAATATCTGTTGTACTGATGTTACATCTGAGGTACAGAGAAGTTAAATAGTTTCTCTATAGTTCTTCAGCTAATAAGTAGCAGAACTTGGCTCTTGCATTCCAGATTCCAGATTTTTAGGATTTTTCCAGATGGATTAACTCTTTTGCAAAGGCCATCATATTTCTTTTATAACTTGTTATAGTGTATTTTAATTGTAGAACAATAGAATTTAATTTACTTTAATTACCCTAGACTGTGGCCTCGTGTTAGGGTGTTTAGGTGATTAATAATGTTTGTTGTAAAGTACTGGACATAATAAAGTAGGATAAAGTAATAGGGATAAGCTTGGTGTCTGGGCTGTCACTCCACTGAGTGACCAAAATGATCTTATTTATATTCTCCAAGCCTCAGTTTCTTCTAAATCAATTAGTAATAGTCATCAAATGAAATAATATATAGAAAGGACTTAGCAAAAGACCTGGTTCATAGTAAAGTCTTTATTATTTTTGATCTTTTCATAAGTGCACACTCAACTTACATTAGAAGCTGTTATCTACTCCTTCCTTTCAGACCCAATTATTTGAAATTAGATACATCACACATTCGTATATTCTTCAGATTATTCCTTTAATCACACCAAGTTTGTTTACTTATTATTTGCAGTTGCCTGAAGCCAAATGTAAATCATTGGTTGAGTTATAAAAAATAAGTTGAGGAAACTTCTGAGAATTGCCAGTAGACTGGAATATTTAGTGGATAATGTGACCTTACACTTTTTTTTTTTTTTTTTTTTTTTTTTTTTTTTTGAGATAGAGTCTTGCTCTGTCACCTAGGCTGGAGTGCAATGGCGCAATCTCGGCTCACTGCAACGTCCACCTGCTGGGTTCACGCCATTCTCCTGCCTCAGCTTCCTGAGTAGCTGGGATTACAGGCGCCTGCCACCATGCCTGGCTAATTTTTGTATTTTTAGTAGAAACGGGGTTTCATCATGCTGGCCAGGCTGGTCTCAAACTCTCAACCTCAGGCAATTTGCCTGACTCGGCCTCCCAAAGTGCTGGGATTACAGGAGCGAGCCACCGCACCTGGCCAACCTTGCATTTTTAAGGATTTGGAGTATTCTACTGAAGGAGACTCAACTCTCTTATCTGAAATCCAAATAGGTGTTTATAGTTTTCTCTATCCTTTATTTAGATTTTTTTTGTACTCCAGATATAAGAATTACTAACAAAAAAGTATAAAGAGTCCTCTTAAAAAATCTTTTCTCACATGAAACTGATTGTGTAAGGCAGAAATTTGAAGCATTCTGTGTTATATGTAATTTTGAATATATACATTTCTGTGTCTCAGTGACTACTTTCCACTCCACTGTGGCCAGCTGTAACATAATTGACCATTCATTTTATTAATTATGTTTCAAAAACTACCAACAGATTGAAAATATTTCAATGTTAGTCATGAATTCTCAAGAGGCTTGGAAATTGGTGTTGCTATTATTGTTTCACACTATAATATCTGTTGTACTGATGTTACATCTGAGGTACAGAGAAGTTAAATAGTTTCTCTATAGTTCTTCAGCTAATAAGTAGCAGAACTTGGCTCTTGCATTCCAGATTCCAGATTTTTAGGATTTTTCCAGATGGATTAACTCTTTTGCAAAGGCCATCATATTTCTTTTATAACTTGTTATAGTGTATTTTAATTGTAGAACAATAGAATTTAATTTACTTTAATTACCCTAGACTGTGGCCTCGTGTTAGGGTGTTTAGGTGATTAATAATGTTTGTTGTAAAGTACTGGACATAATAAAGTAGGATAAAGTAATAGGGATAAGCTTGGTGTCTGGGCTGTCACTCCACTGAGTGACCAAAATGATCTTATTTATATTCTCCAAGCCTCAGTTTCTTCTAAATCAATTAGTAATAGTCATCAAATGAAATAATATATAGAAAGGACTTAGCAAAAGACCTGGTTCATAGTAAAGTCTTTATTATTTTTGATCTTTTCATAAGTGCACACTCAACTTACATTAGAAGCTGTTATCTACTCCTTCCTTTCAGACCCAATTATTTGAAATTAGATACATCACACATTCGTATATTCTTCAGATTATTCCTTTAATCACACCAAGTTTGTTTACTTATTATTTGCAGTTGCCTGAAGCCAAATGTAAATCATTGGTTGAGTTATAAAAAATAAGTTGAGGAAACTTCTGAGAATTGCCAGTAGACTGGAATATTTAGTGGATAATGTGACCTTACACTTTTTTTTTTTTTTTTTTTTTTTTTTTTTTTTTGAGATAGAGTCTTGCTCTGTCACCTAGGCTGGAGTGCAATGGCGCAATCTCGGCTCACTGCAACGTCCACCTGCTGGGTTCACGCCATTCTCCTGCCTCAGCTTCCTGAGTAGCTGGGATTACAGGCGCCTGCCACCATGCCTGGCTAATTTTTGTATTTTTAGTAGAAACGGGGTTTCATCATGCTGGCCAGGCTGGTCTCAAACTCTCAACCTCAGGCAATTTGCCTGACTCGGCCTCCCAAAGTGCTGGGATTACAGGAGCGAGCCACCGCACCTGGCCAACCTTGCATTTTTAAGGATTTGGAGTATTCTACTGAAGGAGACTCAACTCTCTTATCTGAAATCCAAATAGGTGTTTATAGTTTTCTCTATCCTTTATTTAGATTTTTTTTGTACTCCAGATATAAGAATTACTAACAAAAAAGTATAAAGAGTCCTCTTAAAAAATCTTTTCTCACATGAAACTGATTGTGTAAGGCAGAAATTTGAAGCATTCTGTGTTATATGTAATTTTGAATATATACATTTCTGTGTCTCAGTGACTACTTTCCACTCCACTGTGGCCAGCTGTAACATAATTGACCATTCATTTTATTAATTATGTTTCAAAAACTACCAACAGATTGAAAATATTTCATGAAGGATGTTTTATTTAAATTTTAAAACAGTGTAAAATGACTATAATATGGTAACTTAAAAAAATTCCCAGAGAACAACTGCAGATACTGGTAAAACTAACTCCCTATTTTTATTTTATTTGTTCTACATGAAGTAAAGAACTTAAAAAACTACCATGTTAACAGTCATACTTTGGCAGGTCAGCTTTGTTTCTAGAATAAAATAGTTGTTTCATTTACTCTTAGATTCGAAATAAGATGATTGATGGGGAAAGTGGAGAAAAAACATTCAGAACTCTGGTTAAATCTCAAGATGAGGTAAGAATTGATTCTAGCTTATTCTTAAATAAAAATTATATCAAGAAAATTTGATATTGGTAATTTGTCCTTTTTTCTATTAATCCACTATTATAAAACGGATACCTCTAGGAAACAATTTTTCTTTTTTAAAGCATTTCTTAGCTGGAGGGATATTTTCACTAAGATATATTTTTAACTCTTTTTTCTTTTTATAAAACACTATTGCTTTAGGTTTCTTGATGTTTTCTTATACATTAACAGTATATTCTTGAAATTATATTTTACATATATTTTATGAGAAATAGAATGCACAATATAATTTTGCCATGTTGTTTTACACCATGCCAATGTTGCAAAATTGAAGTTAATATTTAATAGCTATGTGTTTTATATGATTTGTCTAGGTGGATGTTCTAATTATTGAGTTCCATATATTAATTATTTTGTATTTTTAGCTTTTTGTTTACTTGTTTCTGGCTTGATTTATCTTCATTTACTAGTTACACACTTTAAAATTTCCCAGCACTTACATCTGAAATTAAATCCTGTGATAACACAACTACCCCCACAAATAATTGATTTATGTCTATTATCATATTGGAGTATATCTATTATCAGTCAGATGTGGAGTACAGACAGACATTTATACATTTGAGTATTTGAAAAATACAGGTCTCAGAAGCTTTTGAGCCTGGAAATGTAATTTAAGCTTTTATGTATAACCTATATCCTTTTCCTCACAATCTCATCCTTTTTAGATGGATGACATTTCTCTGAAATTCCTCATCAGATCCTTCCCTAGGTGGAAGGTGAGCTAGGATCTGAATATGATCCTTCATTAGCACATGGCCTTTCTCATTTTAATATCATTATGAGTCCCTATTACAGAACACAAAGGGAGGTATATTTACATTTCAGACTTTGTTGCAACTTCAAATCTATTTACTTAGAGTTTTGCACATTCTTTTTTCAGCTTACAAAGTAATTTTCTGTTAACTTCCATTGATATTTTTCCCCTTTCAATTTACTGCAAATAACTTTTTTTGACAAATATTCAGCTAAAGACTATGTTTTCCTATCTTAGAATTTTAAAATGTCTGTCATGAACACACTATTGTAAATAGATATAACTGCTAATCTTCAATTACTATATTGCCTTGTACTCCAGATTTCTATGTATGTTGGTATTTCAAGAAAAGTTATTATTTACTCTATGAGTGACTATAATTTTTATCACTATTCACTATTTTATAGACAATCAAAACAATTACAACTCTGTGCATACGTATTACTCTAATTTTTAGGTGATATCTTTCAAAAGCTCTTTCTAAATGGTCTATGTAAGGGATTTGGCAGAGATATTTAGGATGTGATAGTAACCTTCATATTATAGTGTTATGCGGTTTAGCCAAAGTAGCTGAATTCCACAGGCTTAGGTTAGTTATTAACTTTGAAGTTCATTTTTGTGGTGGTTGTAGGAATTATATAACCTTTCTTGTACCATTTTCTGTATTGATGAGCTGGGAATCTCCAGTGTTAACACATTTCACAATGTTTGGCATAATGAGTTGGAAGTAATTTGAAATTCCTCACCTAGGAAATGTTTCCCACAGAACCTCTCTTTACACCTGATTTATTGAATATTTTTCACCAAAACCTGTCTGAAATTAATTTGTAAACATTTTTTTCATAGTCATGTCTTTCATGAGTCTTACTACTCTATAAAAATTGTAAGTGTATGGAATAAATGAGAAATTATATGAATAATCAAATGTTTAATACATATATGCTAACCCTTATGATACTGTATTTTTATGGATTTTAGTGTTACTACTGAAATAAGTTTAAAATAGAATTAGAGCTTTTCAATTTAATTTATGCCCAAGTGAATCTGTTTTGTTGGAATCTGAAAATAGTTTATATTTATTACACATATTCCATCAACAGTCCTTTATAACTATATGCTTGGGCTAAAACTAGAATGCATTTGTTCTATTTCATGCAGAAAATTTACTGAAAGATGGCAGAATTTAGTAAGGATAAACTTACTGAATAACGACTGCCTTAAGAAACTAATCTGAGAATATTTCCAAACTTTGAAAGCAGTTGAAAAATAGATTTCTTGACTAAAATATTAGATAGTAATAATGTTTAAAGTTGTCTGTTTCAATGATTTGTAATGATTATTTCATTACAAATTGAAGACTTAACCAGATTATAATTTCTTCTACTGATATTGAAAAAACTTGTATTTTTATTTATCTGCTCTGATACTATTTTCTGATACCGTATTTTATTTATTACTTGCAGACCAACACTTGCTTGCCCTCTTTGTTTATGCATATATGAGTAGTAACAAATATATAAGCATTGTTTCTTCTAATTTTTTTAATAATACTAAGTCCTCTTCACCAACCCTGTTCCCCCTCCCCCCATCTGCTACACATACACCCACACATGCTCACACACAGACACACACGCACACATACATTGTGTAGTTGTTATAAACATGAATTTGGCATTATACATTTTGCCAGCTTAAGTACCTTACCTCCTCTTTAACACTTATTTCTTTATCAATAAATTGCGGGATATAAAAGTATATACTCCAGGGGTTGGATCAAGTGACAGAATGACTTTAAGGTGCTTAGCATGGTGCCTTATACCAAGAAATACTTCAGTACATGTTACTGTTTTGGTGAGAATGATGAAACTCAAAAATAACTAAGCAAATTAAAAATTACATATATGTCATCGCTATACATAATGGAAAAGTGCATGTATAAAAGATATAGCCATGCATGAACTTCTTTAGCTCTGTATTTTCTTTCCCTGGTGGATTTAGGTGTTTTCCTAACCTTCAGTGATACTGAATAGCCTCTTATGATACCATAATAATGCTATAATAGTGGCTTCATAAAAACAGTCATATGCTAATCACACACTTGGATCTAGACACACTGCGTTAATGTCCTGATGTTGCCTGTTACTCTTAAACATACTTTAGTATGGACATATCTGAGCCTTGTCTAAATACTTCATAGTCCTGTTTCATTATTAAAATTTGTTTTTCAGGAAATACTGTTTTCAATGTTTTGAAGATAATTTGGCATAAACTATTATGATTTTGCACTTATATTTATTTGTGTCAAAAATTTTGCTAGACACACATAGAATAAATAAACATAGAATAAAATAGATCATATCTTTGTAAAGATGAGTATTAAATGACTGCAAAATTTATAAGTAAATTCTACTGCTTTACTTTTCGTATATATTCATACAAAATGTAGTGATAATAACCATGATAATAACCACGTCAAACTTCTTTCTAGAGATATATTGACAAAGGAAACAGGACATACACATGGACACCTGTCAATGGCACAGATTACAGGTAATTAACTGCATTTTATGTGTATTGTGTATTCCAATGGATTAATATTAAGTCTGCATTTTCATAAGTGAATTTTCATGTGATTTTCAATAGAAGAGTTCCCAAAATGAAAACATAGTAATCTTATAGACTAATTTTTAAAATGGAAAAGATGGAAAAAATCTAGTAATACAAAATTTACAAATGAAAATGTATGTGATATAAATCTATATATTTTGTATTTTTACTTGAGAAATGTTGACAAATACCCATAATGATATGTAGGGTTCACTCCACTGACTTCCTCTTTTAGTTGTTGTTTAGTTTACATTACACACATACACACATTTGAGTTGAAAACTAACCTCAAATATAAAGCTTATGTCATCATTGTAGTATCTGATATAAAATGTTTAGTTGGTATAATTTACCTCCATGAGTATCAGTTCTATAATATTCTGATTCCTCTTATTGGCTGGGCTTTGGAAAGTTGGACAGCCTAAAAGTTAGTAATCTATTGGTAATTCTCCATTCTTTAACACTTTCTCAACACTTCCTTCACTTTCTTGCTGTAACTCTCCTCTGAGCTCACTAATTCCTCTGAAGTCTTCAGAATACTGAGGGTGATATGAGTGTGTCCTCATTACTCATTATTATTTTTTTTCCTTTCTAAAATTTCCATCTTTGAATCTCATGCCACCATACCACACCACCTACTATTCCTCCTTCTTAACAATCATGTCCCTCTCATTCCTATAAAGATTTCAGCTCCTGGCTCATTATCACTCTCCTACATTCACATATTTCACTGTTTTTCAAATGATGCCATACCTACACTGGTGTAAAGAAAAATAAAAATTGTTTAATAAAATAAACTTTAAAAGGAAAAAACGTAAGCTCAAAATTTTTACTATTAGATTTCACAGATATAAAATTAGTCTGTTAGATTGCTATAAAATTTTCTGAATACTTCCTCCCAATTTCTGTATTTTGCTATCATGGGCTGGTAATAGACAGTTTGTAAATTGGCTAGGTCCATGGAAAACACTTTAAGTAGCATTGACATAGATGATGTTTCTACTACCTGGGCTGTCTTACTTTTGGCCTCCTCTCCTCTAATGATCTTGTCATCCCCCTACCTTAGCCACTGACTCCAAAATCATATTTTGCAGCTCTTACAGTGTCAAGTCTGCAATGCCTTCATAGTCTTTACACGAGAATTTTTCATCCAACTCTCAGGTTACCACATTTTAACTTTCCATCCTCTCCTGCTACTAGCAGTAATCCTTGACTCAAGACATGAAATCCATCAATCCTTTCTTCCTTTTTGCTGCCTTGCCCTCTTCGTGTCCTTGTGCCCTTCTTTATTTAGCAGAAATTCCTTGGGTCTTTCACTGTCTTGCGCACACCACCAACTCCTTTCATCATAGTTGAGTTTGGCAAACAGCAATTTGGCAAAATCCTAGTCCTGGTTACATTCAAATTATTAGCCACACCACACTGTACCCATACAGCTAAAAGTGGCTGAAGTAAAATACTCACTAGCTGATATATCACCTAAAATTCATGACCTCTAACCTGAAGTGGGCCTTACTGATGGCTAGCAGTCTCCATAATCCTGTAATTTTAGGATGCTTGTAGATGACTCTTGATCACTTCACTCTCCAAACCTGTAGTACATTCTCATCATTTTCGCTCGCGTGATGAATTTGCTTTCCATTTCACAGAGTAAAATAGAAGTGGTCAGAAAGAAATCCCACTATTAGAGTAATAACTACTTGCATCTGTGTCTCCATCTTCTATCTTTATTTCTGTTCTCAACACAATCACAAGAAGGTTCTTAACCCTTGAGTAGACTGTTTCATTTCTCTACTCAACTCTCACCAGTAAATTTGCTATCTCATTCAGTCTGACACCCGAAGTCTGGCAAGGCCATCAGTGGCTTAAACCATTTGACCTCACTCACCATCAGCTCTGTGAATTTATCTTCCAGATTCTCCACTGAACAGTACCTGGTTAAGCCACATTGTCCTTTTTACAAAACAACATAAACACTGGCACCCATCTGCCTCAGAACTTTTGTATATGAAATTACTTCTGCCTGGAATTACTTTTCCCAAACAGTCACATGCTCATTCCCTCATCTTCCCATCTTTACTTACTTTTCATCTCTTCAGAAAGGCCTTCTCCAACAATCTTATTTAAAATATATAATGCTTCTCCACACTCTTATCTCCCTCTTGCACTTCATATTCTCCATAACCCTTATTGACATTTAACATCACGCACACGCACACACACACGAAGCATATATAAACTTATTTCTACTGATTATCATCTGTTCTCTCACTAGTAAGTTCCAAGAGGGCAGGGATTGTTCCCTGCTTTATTTACTTCTGAATCATCAGCTTGTATGACAGTGGCACATAGTTGGCACTCTAGAAATATTTACAGAATTGAAGAATTTCAATTTGGAGAAATGGAAGAATTTTCCAATTGAAGAAATTTTCGATCTGTCTCATCTTTTCAAATTTATATAATGGTGTGCTGAACTTCCATTGCAATATTTAAGTACAGAAATCTCTTTAACTACATATTAATATACAACTAATATGTAGGCTATGATGGACTCAACGATTTCTCTCCTAATAAAAATCAAACCAAGTCCCCAGAACATACGCATAACCTTTTATGGGAGCCTATGTTATTATCATAGGAACCTGTCTCCTTTAGTATTCCTAGGATTGCATGTAGAATAGACGTAGAAGAAAAGAGCATATTGCAAAACACCAGAATGGCTGTTTTAATTATTTTACTTTTTTCCATCAACTGATTCCTATCTCTAATTTCTAGGCATTTCTTTATACATGTATAATCTTCATGTGTATACACAAGTTACTCTTTTTCCTCCCCCTTCCTTGATTATTGCCACCTTTCAATTTTTAGATTAACTTGTCAAAAGGTGCAAAAAGAGAGGAAGTCTTAAAGGTCTGTCTCTTGAGAGATGATTTTATGATAAAACAGAGTATCAAGGAATTGTATGAGAATGTGTTCTGTGCCCCTGTTGCTTAGACGAACTAATTCTGAGAAAAACTGGATTCTTTTGACCCTTACAATGTGATAGCTGGCCCTCCAACAGTTATAAGGACACGTTTGGGGTGTTTTATGTGTCTCGTGAATGGCCTCTACACTCAACCTCTTTTCCTCATACACTGAGTGATAATACACAGTGCAGGCAGGTTAATGTTCTTTTCTCAAGTTCATATCACTCCTTGTTGACAAAACTTTCATCTCCTTCCATTTTCATCGAAGTTTAATTTGAACTTCCAAGTCTGATAGTCCCTTCACACATTTCTAGCCCAATGTATCTGTCCTGTCGTTTCTGTCACTTCCATCGCTATATATACAACTGTTCTCTGACAAGGCCCCAACTTGCCCACCTTTGCATGTTTTCCTCACACATTTGCTTTCCAAGTCTCCAACTTTGGGCCAGATTAAATCTATTTCCATTGGAAATACTTTTCTGAATCACTGTACAAATTCACAAACAATGATTTAGAACAAAATATTGCATCTAAGTTGAAGGAAAAAAACATGATATGTTTTTATTTCATGAATGAGATACAAAATTTTCATCTGGTGATTTCTCTCTTCTTAAGTCTTGATCCAAGTACTGTATTTTGAAATGTAATCAATTATTTTAATAGGATGCTTTCTTTTTTTAGAGAATAATTTACTTTTATGGAGATAAATGAGTTGATAAATGTGTTATAGTCCACTTAACTCAGTTAACCATGTTTCTGTCAGTCACAAAACACTGCCTGGGCTATACCATTCATCTGGTGGCCACTTGCTTTATTAAACTTTAATCTCTAGAAGGAAATAAAGCAGTCTTGGTCTATCAGTTTTGTAGGGACAGAGACAGCAAACATTGTATATGACAGCACCATTGACTAGGAATGTTGATAAAGATCTTATCTGGCTATATGTTGAAAAATTTACTTGGCTTGAGATGGATATAATTAAGTATAGCTATGTTTTTCTATAGAACGGATTATAGCTATTAATAACAACCAAAGACTTACAGGCCAACAAAATACATAGTAGATATGCCAATTTTAAGACTTCTATTTTCTTCCTCATGGGTTTCCATACTATATTTACGGTATATTAGATGTAACCCAAGCTTATAGAGTGACACTTTAGCAGTTGTATGATATAACGTTATCGGTTTTAATTAGAAGTTTCTCTTAGCAATAAATGCTGATGGGGCAATAAAAATGTCCTAATTTCCCTTGAGAAGAATTTGTAGGAGACAATCTTCAGTGCTCAGTAATTCTGCTGTACATTTTGTAAATGGCAAGTGAATCAGGAAAGGTCATCTTGCTGTCAGAGTGATTGCACTACTTATTTTAATTTTAATCTCTGCCTGCACTTAAAGGAAGTTACCTATAAAGTGAATATAGAAATTTTCATTAAATCTATATAACATTTTATTTCCCTGACCTTTTCCCATAAGGAACGTCTGTGAATTACTTAATGACTGGGAAAGGTTTGGGAATTAGAGGTAACAAGCATCCATTCATTTTGCTATCTTTATTATATCATTAAATTTTAGCAAATAAACCCTTGAATTTTTTTCCTTTTCAGAGAGTGAAATTTTAATATTTATAGTCATAAGAATGAAATTTTGAAATTTCATGGTTTTACCTATTCTATATTGTCTATAAAAATACATAATGACATTGGGATAGCCATTCCCAAAACTGGGGCTACATGAGGCTTAAGTGATTCAAAAGATCTACACATCCCTAAATCTAAAAGCTGAAATTATTAAAAATTAATTAATTAAAGGATCTACACATGCCTAGAAATACTCAAAAGCCTAGATACGCACACCTTTCCCTGCACATCACTACTGCACATCACTAAAATTTGGGCTAGCTATTAAAAGTGGATGCCGAAGGTGACCAAGTGGGTTACATTAAACAAGTATTGCTTTTGGAAAGTAGTTAGATTGGGCATTTTAAAGGTAACATAAACCCAATGTTCACAAGTTTCCTTCTATATTCAAATCATAGCAAAGATCATGTGGCTGCATAGCACATGTGGATATGGAATAGTTATATCCTACATTTGAGTATTAGCGTGAGAGTAGGAGAATTACACATATGCAGCTGTGTTACTGGAAAGTGCATAAAATTCTGAAATCCTTTAACAATTCTGATATGTATTTTATTATTTTATTATTAATTGGCAATTTCAAAATAAGTAAGATACCTGCCTAACAGCTTTTTATTTTGGGCAGTCATTAAGACAAGTTTTGATGGCCGGCTTGTCTGACATTCGTTGTGTCTAAAACATTCTGAATTTGGCCCAAGATTTTCACCGGAACTCTCCTCTGCTTTGGACATCCACCATAAGACTAGAGTAGCGCCATGGCTCTTGTTAACTACCAAACTCAAGATACAGTTCCTGTTGCACCTAATAACAAACTTCCAAATAATGTGGAATAGCCACAGTAAATAAACTTGAAATAAATACTATGACTTAGTTTTACTGTTGGGTATGAACTAATGAGCTGAGCAGACAATTTCTATTAGTGCAGTAAAGGAATCTGAATTTGCCTATGAGTAGACACTAGAGAACTTGCCCAAGGATTAGAGTTTTAGTAGGTATTTATCCCTCAAAAGAATATATTTTAGATGACTTTATGCATTGTTCAATAGTAATGATAATGGCCAGGTGTGGTGGCTCATGCCTGTAACCCCAACACTTTGGGAGTCTGAGACAGGCAGATTGCCTGGGCAACATAGTGTAAACCCTGTCTCTACTAAAATACAAACATTAGCTGGGCGTGGTGGCATGTGACTATGGTCCCAGCTACTTCGGGGGCTGAGGTGGGAGGATTGATCGAGCCCAGGGGATTGAGGCTGTGATGAGCCATGATTGAAATCACTGCACTCCAGCCTGGGGGATAGAGTGAGACCTTGTCTCCAAAAAAAAAAAAAAAAAAAAAAAAAGAAAAGAAAAGAAAAGAAAAAAACAAGGTAATGATAATAGTAACTCTTCCGTTTGTATTTTAATAGTATG